CGACCCGCGTTGTCATCAACCGCATCGGCGCCTCGTTCCGCTCAGATCTTCGCCTCGCCCTCCCCGAATGGTGCCGCGAAGCCGTTGCTGTGAGTGCATCCACTGCGTGTGTGCGTGTGCGAACATTGATGTCCACCTGCCATGCCCCCGGCCTTGTGAACCAGATGCACACACGTTCATCTTCTCACTCCTTCGTCTCCCCCTGCCCTTCACAACCCTCTCCATACTATCATCACCATCACACGACTATCATCACCACCACCATCACACGATTATCATCACCACCACCACAACAGCATGTGCAGCATGCGCAGGAGCTTGCAGGCAACGCCGTGTCGCGGGATGCCGTGATGGCGCAGGTGATGACATATGTCAACGCCTCGACAGCGAGCGGCCCACTGGTGGTGACGGGGCCCTCGGGGTCGGGCAAGTCGACGGTGCTGGCACAGGTCGTGACGGAGCTCGCCAAGGACGACGCAACCGCCGTCATTGCCCGATTCGCAGGATTCACGGCAAAGGGTGTGTGAACATGTGTATGTGTGTGTTTGTGTGTGTGTGTGTGTGTGTGTCTGTTTGTGTGTGCATGTCGTTGTGGTATCAAAGCCTTTCACTCCCAGCCCATCTTTTGCCATGCTCCGTTTGTTTGTTCAGCTCAACATGAAAAGCTCTTTACCCAAGTCACACACACGCCCGCACACACGCACACACGCACACACACACTCTCTCATCCTCGCCCGCTCACAAATTAACTCACGCTCATTTCTTTGCTTTGACTGTTGTCGCAGCCGCGTCGCTGACGCACACGCTTCGGCTGCTGACTCAGCAGTTTTTGTATTTGGTGCACCCTGAAATGGACAGCGAGACGATTCCCACGGACTTTAGGGCCATCATCTCCGTGCTGCCACAACACCTCGCAAACCTCGCAAAACTCGACAAACGCATCGTGCTGGTGTGTGTATGTGTGTGTCTGTTTGTGTGTGTTTGTGTGTCTGTGTGCTCCCCCTCCCCCTCACACACACACACACACACACCCTCACACATACACTCCCACGCCCGCTGTGTCCCACTGCCGTTTGCTTCAGATCATCGACTCGCTTGACGAGTACGTGGACGACGAGAACCGGCTGGACGAGCGGGTTGGCCTCGCCGCGTGGTTGCCCACCGTGCTCCCAGACAACGTTCGCCTCATCGTCTCCGCACGCGAGCACGACCGCGCGTTTGAGCAGCTGTCGGAGCTCGTGCAGGACGACGCCGTTGTCACCCTCGGACCCATGGTGGGTTGGTGTGATGTGGTTTGTTTGTTTGTTGTTTGTTTGTTTGTTTGTTGATTGGTTGGTTGGTTGGTTGGTTGGTTGGTTTGTTGTTGGTGTTGGGTTCGCTGCTGGGGTTGTGCAATGATGTGATCTTGATTGGCAAGTGCTGCCTGTTTCTCTATGTGTGTTGCTTGCTCTGCACTTGTTTGCGCGCACCTTGCCTCTACCTTTACATTTTCCGCTTGTGTCTTCTCATTCCCATTCGCCTGCACTGTCTTACCACGTGCGATAGGACGAGGCAGAGTCCAAGGCGATGTTTGAGCGCATTCTCTCGGAGCGCAACCGCAAACTGACGGCAGAGCAACACGACGCCGTGCACAGTGCACTCGCATCAGCGAGCCCGCTCCCACTCGCGGTCTATCTCCTCGCAGACACGGTGCGCAAACCTGCCTGCTTGCCTTGCCTTGCCTTGCTTTGCTTTGCTTTGCGTTGCTGCGCTGCGATTTCTTGCCTGTAGGTTTATGTGCTTGTTTGTGCTTGCTTGTGCTTGCTTGTGCGTGTGCCTGTGCGTGTGCCTGTGCGTGTACGCGCTGCCGTCACTACCCCGTCGTTCCCTGGCGGACAAACCAGAGTGTGTTACTCGTGTGCCTCTCACTCTCTTCTCCTTCTATCCCCCCCCCTTTCTTTCTTTCCTCTTCCAACAGGCGTGCGAGTGGCGGTCCAGCGACGCCGTGCCGGAGCTGACCACCTCCATCCTGCCCATCTTGGACGCCCGTCTGCAGTCCATCGAGGACAAACTCGGCCAAGTCTTCGTCTCCCGCACACTCGGGTGCGCCGTGTCGTTAATCGCTGATGCAGTTGTTGTCATGTTTGCTGCTGTTTCATTTGCTGCTGCTGCTGCTGCTGCCTTCTTGCTTGTTACGTGCGTGTTGCATCATGCTCCAGCGTGTTCGCACGATGGCGCGTTGCCATATGCGCACAGGTTGCATGTGCGCGTGCTGTTGCTGCACGACACCGTCACTGTTTTTGAGTTCATGTGCATTAGACTCGCTTGCATGCGTTGACTTGCTCCTCCACCTCACACGCACGCCACCAACACCATCCCCCTCCTCCACCAGGTATCTGACGTGTTCGCGCAACGGGCTCAACGCTGACGAGCTGTGCCTGATCCTGTCTGCGGACCACGAGGTGATGGCATCCATCTCGCGCCACCACCTCCCGCCCGACGGCACGCTGCCCCAACACCTCATCTTCATGCTCAAGAGCGCGCTTGGTGCACAGCTCAACGTCGGCACAGACGAATCCATCACATGGTGCGGGCTTTTGGTGGTGTCTTTGTTTGTGCTCATGTGTGAGTGAGTGAGAGACAGACAGACAGGCAGACAGACAGAGAACTGTGTCTGTGCTTCTTTTTGCTTGTGCCTATGTGCATAGCTGCTGCCTACGTCTTCCTGTGTGCCTGCGTCTGTGTTCAACTGCTTCCTATCTGTACATGCACAACCGACCACACTTCCACTCAACCCCGCGTCCCCTTTCACGCCCCCTCCCCCTCCGCCTCCCCCTCTCCAGGGCGCACCACCAGTACCACCAAGCGGCCGATCTGCGCTACCTGAGCGACGCCGCACACAAGCGCTCCCTCCAGCAGGCAGCAGGCGCCGTGCTGCTTGTACGTTGGCCGCGCTTGCACCTTTCTGCCTCCTCACTGCAGTTGCTGTTACTTAGCGCATCCTCACTCCACCAACTTACGATCTTGCCATCGCCTCCATTGTCATTGTCATCAATTGTGTGTGTTCGTGTGTGTGTGTGTGTGTGTGTGTGTGTGTGTGTGTGTGTGTGTGTGTGTGTGTGTGTTCTTGTGCGCAGGAGCATCTTCGCGAGCGGATTGTGGAGCGGGAGCGATCTGGGCAGCCCGGCCCTCCACCGGAGCTGGAACGGTTTGCAGACGTCATCCCTTGGCTCTTCATGCAGGCTGGTGACCACGACGCCCTCAGGGAAACACTCAACATCACACACATCTTCATGGTACGCTGATTGTGTGTGATTGTTGCCTTGTCACGGCGTGCCGTGCTGCTTCCTTTTCGTGCATTGCACGTGATTGCTGTTACACCCACCCACCGACTCCACTGCGTTGCGGCGTGTGCAGTTCCTGCAGGACTACCTGTACCAAGACGTCAACTACGATCTCGCTGCGTACTGGCGCTTTCTCGGCGACTCCCCAGAGGACATTGTCAGCGGCTTTGCAAACTTGCTCGACGCAGAACACGTGCGTACACGCCCGTGTGGCACATGCGTGTCGTACATGGCTGGGATACACTGGCCTGGTTCGATGGGTGTTTGTGTCACCGCATGTTGCGTTTGGGCTCGGATGCATACGTGATTCATCACTTCATTGATCTTACGCTGGTGCCCGTGGGTTGTGCCTGCAGCTTGACGAGGGTAAGGCGCGATTCCTGCACGTTGGGCTGGCCGGCTACCTCTACTGCGCCGGGCACTACCAGCACGCACTCAACGTCCTCGTAGGTTTCCTGCAACGAACACACGCACTCATGCGCACACGCACATGTGCATACCTGCGTGCCCTTGTGTTGAGACGATTCTTTGCGCAGCGCTGGGCGTTTGCAGTTTGCCTGCAAGCATGCGTGCGACACGTGCTGACCTCGACTTGCCCTGCTGCGATTGCTGTTGCTGCCAGGAGCCGTGCGGCGAGTGGAGGCGGAAGCACTTGGGCGAGCACGACGACACTGCAATGACAATCAACTTCCAGGGTGCGTATGCATGTGTGTAAGAGAGAGGGGGTGGGAGGGAGCGAGAAAGAGAGGGACTGAGACTGAGACAGAGACAGGGGCAGAGGCAGAGACAGAGACAGAGAGGGGAGGGGCATATAATTGCGTGTGTTTTGCCTGCATGCGCATGTGTGTGTGCGCACGTTGTGTAACACTTGTGTGCGCTGTTTGCTTGTTGTTGCCTGCAGGCATGTGTGCGCTTGAGCTTGGCGACCGTGCGTTGGCACTGGAGCGATTTGAGGAATCGCTTGAAATGCGCCTGAAACTCGGCAAAACAAAGGATCTGGGCAAAGGTGTGTGCGTGTTTGCTTGTGTGCGTGTGTGTATGTGCGTTGCTGCATGTTTCGTTCTGTGTGCTCATGCCAATTTTCCACGCGTGCGTCCGTCGTCTCATCTTGCATGCACTGCCCTCGTCGTCGTTGTCGTGGCTTGTGCAGCCATTGCTGCGTCGTACAACAACATTGCCATCATCCACAAGCGCGAGGGCAGATATGAACAGGCACTCGAAACATACAACCAGGCGCTGGAGTTGCAGAAGGTGTGTGGAGGAAATGTGTGCGTGTGTGTGTGTGTGTGTGTGTGCACGTGTGTAACTGTGTGTGTGTGCGTGGCGTTCCCCTGCAGTGGTTGTGCTCTTTGGATCAGATACATGTGTGCTGCGTTGTTTGTTGGCCCAAGCCAGCACCACTCATCATCTTCTTTGCTGTTTCCGCTTCGCCCTTGCTCATGTGCTCACTCTGCTGCGCACTCGCTTGCGTGCTTGCGTGTGTTCAGAAAATCAACCCCAACGAGGACAATGTATCGATTATGCAGATTATGAACAACGTTGCGAGCGTGCACTCGGTGATGGGCAACTATCCAAAAGCATACGACCTCTACAAGATGGTGGTGGACCGCAGACGAAAGTACTTTGGTGCGTGCAGTCGTGGTGACGGCGTTGTTGTTTAAGTTGTTGTTTAAGTTCTTGTTCTTGTTGTTGTTGTTCATGGTGGTGCTGTTCGCTTGTGTTGTTGATACCGTGCAGTGGTGTGGTGACACGGTTCTTCGCTTCTTTTTTTCTTTGCTTCACTGTTCCGCCGACACTCACCTGCGCACCCATACACGCGATTACACCCACCTTTATTTCACCAGGTCCCTCTGTGCCGTTGAGTGTGGCGCTGTTCAACCTTGGGCTGGTCGCGTTCAGGCAAGAGCGCTACGGCCTCGCACAAGAGCACATCCAGGACTGCCTTGGTACAGTGTGCATGCGTGTGTGTGTGTGTGTGTGTGTGTGCGTGTGTGTGTGTGTGTGTGTGTGTGTGTGTGTGTGTGTGTGTGTGTGTGTGTGTGTGTGTGTGTGTGACGGAGCTGACCCTGCAAGCAGTGACACGCATCTTCCTCCATCAACCGACCTTGTGGTGCTCACTACGTGGTACCTGTTGGGTTGATAGAAATCCGCCTTCGCCTCCTCGGCCCAACACATCAGAGCACGGCGTCTGCCATGTCCATGCGCGCACACGTCTTGCTCAAGACAAAGCAGCCACAGCAGGTGGGTCGGACGTGCTCCAACCAATTGCCTGCACATGCAGTCATGCATGCAAATGCCTGTGTCAGTAAGACACAGGAACGCACTGGTTCTCGCACTCATCAACCGTCTGATCACCGAAATGCCTTCATCGTGTGTGTGTGTGTGTGTGTGTGTGTGTGTGTGTGTGTGTGTGTGTGTGTGTGTGTGTGTGTGTACGCTATGACTTGTGGTGTCAACAGGCCAAGGACATGTTCCTTCGTGTGCTGCATGTGCGGGAGAGCTCGGGCAACAAGTCCATGCTCTGCATGACATATGCCGACGTTGCCCGCGCGTGCACTGCTCTCAAGCACTTTGAAGAGGTACCGTTCGTGCGTACATGTGCGCTGTGATGAGTAGTCTGGTGGTGGTGGTGGTGGTGGTGGTGGTGCAGAACGCAAGCGGGAGATGGTCACACAATCGCAGTGTCTTCGCTTGTGTGTTGTCGCTCACCCAAGACCATGTGTGTGTGTGTGTGTGTGTGTGTGTGTGTGTGTGTGTGTGTGTGTGCCGTGGCCATTGTAGGCGGAGAGTTACTTGGAGAAGAGCAAAGCGCTCTGCAGTTCTGATCCTCTGGATCCAAGAAACGCAGACTACGCAGAGGCCGGTGTGTGCGCGCGTGCGTGCGTGTGTGTGTGTGTCGCTGTTCGTTTATTCGCTTGCTTGCCCCTATCTGTGTGTGTGTGTGTGTGTGTGTGTGTGTATCCGTGCTGCCTGGCCCGCATTTGTCCTGATCTCTTCTGCCATCCTTCCGTGTTCCTCACCGCTTCACGTGTTGTTGTTGGTTTGTTTGCTTGCTGCACAGCTGGCGATCTTGCGTTGGCCAAAGGCGACCGCGACCAAGCGCGGGAGATGTATGCCGAATGCATCGATTTGTACAGACACGTGAGTCCTGTGCCCTTGCAGCTGTGCATCTTAGCGTCTGCCCACATAGACACACACACACACACCGCACGAGCGTGTACGAACATGCACGTCTGCTCAACCGCCCCCTGGTTTCTCACTCAAAAACACACACACGCACACACGCACACACGCACGCACGCAGACGTATGACGCGGACCACCCTCAAGTGCGTCGAATCCATGTGAAGCTTGGCTTGACAACACTGGATGCGTCAACCGAAGTCGTCACTGACAACACCACAGCCGCGTCAGAGGCCTAGTCGTTCCACCCAGCCAAGGCGCAACAACGTGCGTTGCTGTCCTTTGCATCCTTTTTCGCTGTCCTTCCCACTTATCGAAGTTTGTTGATGTTGCCCAATAAAGATCGACATTGCTTGCAAGCAAGCAAAACAGCGCAGCCGTAATTTTGCCTTTCTTTGTTTGTTTTGTTTTCCCACCACCCCACGGATACAAGCAAGCGCCAAGCAGGTCAAGATGCAAGGAAATGGCGTTTTGGTTGCGGCAGCGACGGCAACGCTGGCTGCTGTGCTTCTGCTGGCAGTGAGCCCCCCGAGTGCCCTGGCTGCCAGCACAACAACTGCAGGCACAACAGCAACTGCAGGCACAACAACAACAAATGCAGGCATGAACGCAACGACGGCCACCACCATCTCAACAACAACAACAACTACTACGACCACTACTACAACAACAACAACAACAACAACAACTACTACTACTACAACTACAACAACAACGACAACAACGGAGCCCGTGTTTCGTCCAAAGATTGTGGTGGAGGACGGGCGGTTTCTCATCCGGCTCGATGGTGGGATTGACTTTGACCCGCTCGAGGTGCTGGCGGAGCTGCAAAGGCTACGAGATGAAGTTGCAACTCTGCGGGCAAGCACAAACACCCGCATCGACCGCGTGAACGCACGCGTCACAGAACTGGACAACGCAACGACATCGCGCACCTCAGGCCTGGCCGAGCAGCTCTCCACTACACAGGACCTCGTTGGCACGCACGACCAAAAGCTGGAAGCCCTGGAAGGCGAGGTTGAGGACAATGCCGTGACGGCCGGTGAGCTCGGAGACGCACTGGACGCCGTGGAGCATCGCGTCACCGCTGCCGAACGCAACCAGACGGCCGCCTCATCCCGCGTCGACGACATTGAGAGGGATATCATGTACCTTCCCGGGGTGCTGGCCTGTGCAGAGGGGCGCAACCTATACGACGCAAGCGAGGACGAGTGCGTGCCGGCCAAAACAATCGCCTGCAACAAGGACCTGCTGGAAATGGCAATTGCCAGCTCCCACTCTGAGGTGGTGGAGACCTCGTGTGGTACCATCTTTGGTGGCGTCGGTTGCCTCGTGCAGTGTTCCCTTGGCTATGAGGCCTCTCCCAACTCTGCAATCGCCGTGTGCCAGGCTGACCGCTCGTTCTCCGTGCCTGATCTCGACTGCGAGATTGTGGACTGCGGCGCGCCGCCCAACCCGCACGGCGTCACGTACCAGTGTGACGCGCACACCTACGGCTCCAGCTGCCACGTTACAAGCTGTCCGTTCCTCGTGGGCGGTGACAGCTCCCTCACGTGCGGTGCCGATGGCCAGTGGCGTGGCACACCGCCCGAGTGCAGCCAGTTCAGGCCTTGGGTCCTGGACGGGAACCAGTACCGCCTGCCAAAGGAGGAGGAGGGCCCCTTCACCAGCAGCTCCTGCCCTTCGTACTTTGTAGGCGGCAACGCATACTCCAGTGGCGGCATCACATTCATCACGGGCCCTTTCAAGCAGAGCAACAACCGATTTGCTGTGGTGCCAAACGGTGCCCAGGTGAAGCTTGTCCCGTCAAAACCCGTGCAGCAGATGCACTTTCTCGTGTCTGGCGGCCGTGGCACCGGCTTCAGCTTCTACGTGAGGTTCTACTACACAGACGGCAACACGTACCAGACGGGAACAGGCAGCATCGCCTGGGACTGCCAAGCGGGCGCATCAGGCGCCAGCGGGCTCTCCATCACCCACCTCGGCGGCTACGGTCAGCCGACGCTTCTGAGCATCTTGCTTGCCTGTTGAGTTGTCTCTGTACTGTGTTCGTGCTTGTGTAATGAGGGTAGCAGTCACGTCATGTTAAGTTGCTTCTCAGTGGCAACTGCATGCATGTCACTGAGGGGTGGCTCCAGTTGTCCCTTCAAGGGTGTGGTTGTCATGGCCGTATGCCTCGTTGTCTCCGCCTTTCTACCCTCCCGTTGACATGTTGACAACCACCCTCATCTTGCGCTGGCCCGGTTTTGCCGTTGCTTGCTTGGTTGCTTGCAGGCAACTATGGTTGTTGTGACCAATGGTACCGCCTGTATGCTGTGCCCAACTCTTCGTCGAAGGAACTCATGGCTGTGAGCTTCCACTGGTCTGGCGGCGGCACAGACATCTTCGGCATCACAGCCATTGTCTAACAGCAGAACAGCATCGGCCGCCCTGGAGCCAAGAACCTGTCTCCCTGGCACTGTGTTTTGTGTGCTGCACCGAATTTCTGTTACCGTGTTGTGTGGTGGGAGTGCTCTTTTGTGTATTCTCATCACCTTGCCTGCGTCCTTTTCGATCATCACCTTACGTGCCATTCATTCACTTAACGCTCTGTCACAGCTTGTGGCATAGTCATATTCCGTCTTTGCGTGTGTGCCTTCTTCTGTCTCACCATCATGTGTGTGTTTGTGTGTGTTGTGAGCATGATGAATGTGGCCATTCCTGCCGTCTTGCCGTCCTGTTGTAGTTGCTTTGCATTCTCTTGCTCTCTTTGACTCCCTTCTTGACTCTTTGACCTTTGACTGCTTGCCCCTCCCATTGCGTTGATAGTTTATGCTTCTGCGATGCGAGTGTCATGTGCCTGCGACCACCGTGTCACCAAGTCACTCGAAACCCTGAGCGCCCCAGTTTGATTGCCCGACACCATAAATCGCACGATGAGGACTGCTGTTGCTGTTGTTGCTGTTGTGGCGGTTGCGCTGCTGCTGTGTTCAGTGGTGGTGGACGGTGCCAAAGGGAGGAGGAAAGGACGACGCGGGCTGTCCAGCGCCACGGAGAAGGCCAAACACAAGTGCACGACATGCAGGCGCATCGTGGACGACTTCTTCAACGGTACGTGTGTGCGCGTGTGTGTGTGTGTGTGTGTGTGTGTGTGTGTGTGTGTGTGTGTGTGTGTGTGTGTTACGTGTGTACGCGTGTGTGTACGTGCATGGTGTGTCGTGTTCTCTTGCGCGTTCCACCAGCACCATTTCGCTTCCTGTGACTGTGGCTGCCTGTGCGTGCTGACTCTTGCAGGCCTTGAGAAGACAGAGAACGACATTGAGTTTCGCGGCGAGTCAAAGGGGTTCGTTGAACACTGTCGAGAAGCAACACGCCAAGTGGACAGGCGGCAACAGCAACACACTCCCGCAGTCACGCACATACATACACACTCATACACTCACGCACTCACTCATACTCTCACTCTCACACACATACACATATACACACACCTGCGCTGATAGGTGGACCAAGGACAATGAAAAGTTCCTCGGAAAGTACGCCATGAATGAGGCGCGGATGACAGTGGCACTCGAGGGCGTTTGTCAGCAAGACTACAAGTACGTGACCACGTGCGGCTTGTCCGTGCTGCTGCCGTGGTTACGGTCGCATGCCCTCCACCACTCACCCACTCACTCACTCACTCACTCACTCACTCACTCACTCACTCACTCACTCACTCACTCACTCACGCATACGCACGCGCACAACTTGCCAGATGCACGGAAGTGTTTGCGGAGTTGGAGGAGGACATCGAGGACTGGTGGACAGAGGAGCGGCCAGACGACACCACCACCCGCGATGCTCTCATAGAATGGCTCTGCATTGACAAACACAAGTACTGCTGCCCGGCTGGCACATATGGCAAGACATGCAAGGTTAGCTGGACATGTGACATGGGTACAATGTATCCCCATTGCTCGTGACCGTGTGCGCATGAGGTTCGTGCGAACCCTAGCACACCATCGCTCGTGTGCCTCTTGACTGTGCTTTCATGTCCCACCACCGCTCACCGCGCAAGTGCCACCTTTTCTTTCGACTTGTATATTGCCCCTGTGCCAGCCATGTGCTGGTGGGGCTGATACGCCCTGCTCTGGACACGGAACGTGCAGCGGTGATGGTTTCCGCCACGGCAACGGAAAGTGCAAGGTTGGTGTATGTGTGTGTGTGTGTGTGTGTGTGTGTGTGCGCGCGCTCTTGGTGCAGCACGTAACAATACGCTCACATCAGTGCACGGGGGCTGTCGCAAACAGGAGCAGTTAACATGTTGCTTGTCTCACCGCACATTCACCTGTATGTGTGCGTTCTCACCACCTGTATGTGTGCGTGTGTTCACGGTGCAGTGCACAGATAACTTCACGGGCCCCACATGCAGTGAATGCGCCCCAGGCTTCTACATGAACGAAGTGTGTGCCGTGAGTGTACACACACCACATTGTCGTGAGTGTATGTGTGTGTATGTGCACGCTTCTGGTTGCTGATATTTGGATTGCGCTGCAACAGCTACAGGGTGGCCAGACCACGTGTGAGCCGTGCGATGCTGCTTGCGAGAACACATGTACAGGTGCGGCGCCAGTTGGGCTGATGTGTGTGTGTGTGTGTGTGTGTGTGTGTGTGTGTGTGTGTGTGTGTGTGTGTGTGTGTGTGTGTGTGTGTGTGTGTGTGTGTGTGTGTAGTGCGCAGCGGACCCGAATTCGTGTTCGGACGACGTGAACACGTTCTGCAAGAACACGCCCGGATCGTTTGAGTGCGCGCCGTGTGATGCGGCGTGTCTGGACGGATGCTCCGGTGACGGACCACAACACTGCCACGCTTGGTTCGTTGACCACAATAAGTGTCGTCTTCCTCTCGCGTACAACGCGGCCTGCTCGTTCCCATTCGACCACAACGCTCCATGCTCCCTGCTATTGTCTGCCCTAATGCGTACACGAACCCACACACCCACACACCCACCCACACACACACACACACACACACACACCACCACCACCACCACCACCACCACCACCACCACCACCACCACTACTACTACTACTGCGTATGACCTCACGCTTGCATTGCGATGCTGACTGCTGTCGCCATGTCCACGGCAGTCGTGACGGTTACGAGCCCGCACCGGACGGCGGCTGCCGGGATGTGGACGAGTGCCTGGATTATCCCTGCACTGAAGGTTTGGTGGAACTGCCATCGACGAGCACTCCTCCAATTCGCACCAACACACACACACATACACAAACACACACAGACACACAGACGCACAGACACACAGACGCACAGACACACACTCACTCACTCATTCACTCACTCACTCACACACACACATACACATACACATACACATACACATACACATACACATACACATACACATTCACGTACACACTCACTCACACACACACACACCAGGCCAAGGGTGCGTCAACACGGCTGGCAGCTACCGGTGCGAGACGTGCCATTCAAGCTGCGATGCGAGCAGTGGCTGCTCAGGACCAGGGGCGTCAGACTGCACAGCGTGTGCTGCTGGGTTTGAGCGCGTTGATGGAGGTGAGTGGTGAGCTTGCGCGGCAGTTGCGGACGAGGTGTCCGGCAACAGCCGCAGTGCACCCTTCGTTGGGGCACAGTTCATTGTGTGTGTGTAAGTTTGTGCAAGCTCAAGTGAGTGTGCCGTCGCGTGCTTGATTCTCACCATGTTGTCTTCACTCCTGCACGACTTGGTCTCTGATCTGAAGCTTGCAAGGATGTGAACGAGTGCGAGGAGTTTGTGTGCGATCGGCCAAAGACCTGCACGAACGAGGAGGGCACTTACGCATGCGTGTGCAAAGGCCCGGCGGTTGAGGTGGGTTGGATCAATTCCTCATGTTCACATGCACATCAATCTTCACACACACGCGGGTGCGAGTGCACACACACACACACACACACACACACACACACACACACACACACACACACACACACACACACACACACACACACACCAATCACAAACCTTTCACACACATTCGCGTACACATGGTTGCAGGTTGAGAATGCAGACGGGACGGTGTCGTGCGCACTGCCATCTTGGTTTCCCTTCCGAGCAAACGACGATGATGACGCTGACGATGATGATGACAGCTCGGTTACCGTTACGCAGGAGCGCATCGATGCTGCTGATGTGGACGCATCCACGTCGCTTCAAGGTGAGACGGCGTGCAGGGTGCCGGTCGCAACTGCACTGACGCCAACATACCCACGCATTTTCATCTCTGTGCACGCATGCCACTTACGTTGGCCCTGCGTCGCTCTCGCATTGACATTTCGTTCGTGTTCGCACCACACACGTGCAAACGCATTGCAGGCAACATCACAGTTGGCTCCTCTGAGGGCAACATGAAGCAGTTGAACGTGTCATTTGAGTTGCCCCTCTTTGCCGACGCCGATGTGACGCCAGTCATTCGCTCCATTCGCCCCGTCAACGAATGTTGCGGTGATCAGGTGTGGTTTCATGCTGCTGCTGCTGTGGTGGTGATGTTGGTGGCGATAATTCCCTGTTGCTGTTCGTGCCATTGTGATTGGTTTTGCTGCTGCTCCGTCGTGTGAGCGCTGTGTTGCCTCTCGCTATTTCCGCCACAGCATCCACTGAGCCATCGCCACACTCCCACGCACCAACACAACGTACACGTGTCCCCTGTTTGCGCGTGTCCTGTGTGTGTGTGTGTGTGTGTGTGTGTGTGTGTGTGTGTGTGTGTGTGTGTGTGTGTGTGTGTGTGTGTGTGTGTGTGTGTGTCGTGTGTGTATGTGTACGTAGTTTGAGTTTCGGGTTGCACGCGTCACGCCCACCGGGTTTGCTGTCCTGATCCAGCGAACAGACTCACAGCAGTCGTGGGGACAGGAGCTTGTTGCCGAGTACACAGGTGTGTGTGTGTCTGTCTGTCTGTCTGTGTGTGTGTGCGTGTGCGTGCGCGTCCGTGAATATGTGCGTGCGTGTGTGTGTGTGTGTGTGTGTGTGTGTGTGTGTGTGTGTTCTGAATAAGGATGGCCTGGGCTCGAGCTGCTTGTGCCCTCACATGCCGTTTCTCATCGCATTCTTTTTCGACCACTGCCTGTCGCGCTCTCTCTTGACTTCACCAGCTGTGATGGAGAAGCAGACCACCAACGACAACGCTCCCTCGAAGGACGAGTTGTGACACACACACACAGCACAACACACGTACACACACCACACCACATTCACAAACACACTACATACATCCAACACACACCGCACCACAACCAGCCCAGCTCAGTTCAGTTCAACACAGCTCTTGTTTGTTTTGTTTGTGTTGTAATTCTTGGAATGAACACACCGCAACCAAAATGAAATGAAGCTGTTAATCAAGTGAGAAACAAAGACCCACCAACGCAAATTAAAATCAAAAAGAAACAGCTTGCACAATGCATCTCCTCCTTCCTACCTCACTGTCACCTCTCATTAACAGAAGATACACAAAACACGCTGGTAAGAAAGTTTTCTTCAAACAACACACACACACACACAGACTTAATACGAGCCGCCAACAATGATGCCATGGTTGGCAGACTTGTTGTTGTGCGACTGACTGTACACTTGTCCTTCATCATCATCAACAACTGCACCGCATCCCCGGTCACCGGTTCACGCAATCATTCCCGCTTCAGATCCTGGCGTTCAGGTCGTGCGTGGTATCCACACGGGTGGGTGTCGGATGACTGGGACGAGTTCATGAAACGCCTCGTACGCGCTGTTCATGCGGTTGTGTGCCACTGTGTACGCTGCCTGCACCCCGGCCACAGCCGCCCATGTCTGCTCTGGATACATAACAACAGCGCCAACCACCGCCAGCACAGTCGCCAAGAGCATCAGGCCAACAACGATGAGCGTCTTCTTCCACTTGTTCAGGAATGCGGCAACAACGCCAGGCGGCGGCGGCGTCACCACCTCATCTTCCTTGGCCGACGCAGCGCCGTCAACTGTTTCCGACGTGTTCGCAGTCGTATGGCTTGTCGTGGACGCCGTCTCAGAGTCGGCGATGGTGCTCGCCTTATCATGCATGGCCTCAGCACGCAGGCTCGCCAGCCGCGAGCCACGGCGCGAGAGCCCAAACACGCTGTCTGCAACCTCCGTGTCCCGCCGTGTCTCTGCGGCGTTGTCGAGATCGTTCATGATGGCGGCATCAGCGCCCGCACGCGACTCGCCGTCCTCCGTTGACGCAAAGTCGTGGATGGTGGCGTACTTCTTTACGCGGGACAAGATGGACCGCGTGGGTCCAGGTGATGACGACCTGGACCCCACAGGGGAGATGGTGTTCGATTGCTTCTTCGCCCTCGCTGCCGCTGTTGCCTTGGCCTTGGATGCAGCAAACGCAATGGCGCGGATCTTGCTGCGGAAGAGGCCACCAGGGCGTGTGGCAGCGGCACTGGCGCCGTCCTGTCCTTCACCTTCTGCTTGCTCATCGCCGCCTTCGCTTTCGCTCTTTTTCTTCGCGGCAGCCTTGCTCTTCAGCTGTCACGTGGCCACACGCGTTGGTGTTGTTGTCGTCGTTGTGTGATGGTGATGGTGGTGGTGACGGTGGAGGAGGAGGAGGAGGAGGAGGAGGAGGAGGAGGAGGAGGAGAAGCAGTGAGCCAACACGTTGCAAAGAGAACAGCACTGTACAAGCAACCCAACCAAACCAAAGACATGTCCACACAAAGCAGCCTCTTCGTTCACATCAGCAACACAGTGACTGGCATCCAAAGACACCAACACACCTTGCGGGCCCACCAGCCGCCCTCACGGCCTTTGGTCAAACGAGCTTGCAGTGAGGAATCGGCAGCGTTCACGCGTTGATCTGGCACGATGTAGGAGACAATCCAAATGCAGACGTGAATGTGTGAGCCAAGTGGTTGAGGGGAAGACGACTGAAACTACACTCGAGCGCGACGCAACACACGACGGGCACCGCGCTCACACTTGTGTATCCATGAACACATACACACACATGCACGTACACGCGCGCACAAACAACCATAAACTCTCTCACAAACTCGCATACAAAAAGCGCGCACTCACATGCAAAAGCACAAACACACACACACACACTCACACACTCTCTCATACACACACACTCATACACACACCTGCTTCCTTAGCAGACATGAGACCAAGCTCGTAGTTGACGCGCGCCTGCGATGCGCTCGTGTATGCCGATTCGTTGTCGCTCTCGTCCTCACGCCCTTCGGGCCCGGGAATGACCTGTGAGTGACCCGTATGGTCAACACTAGCGCCGCGGCTGTGCATGGAAGCTGTGCTCGGCGTGGCAGTGAGCACGCCCGTTGCATCGTCGCCATCCACCTCCTCCTCGTGACGAAAGTGGTAGATGCTCTCTTGGGAACTGCGCTCAGATGTCAGCACAATGCGGGGCGTGTTGGGCGCGAGCGAACCGTTATTGTCCTCGCTGTGTGCACCTGCAGCGGAGGTGGTGTTGTTGCTGGCACCAGCGGCACCAGCGCCCGCAATGTCGTTGCTTGCGCGCCTTGAGCTCTTGTTGCTGCTCAACACGCCCTGCAGCAGCTGGCAGTTCTCTGGCGCCTGGTCGCACCGGCAAATCTGCGGGTGCAGATTCGCCCTGAAAGAAGTGATTGCGGTCATGGCAGCCGCATGTCGTGTAAGTTGCTTGGTGAACATCGTGTGTGATGTCGGTAGTGCTGAGGTACCAACACGAAGCAGAACATCCTGTGCACACACATGTCGCAGACTCACGCGCACACAACATCCGACAACAACCACGACGACCATGTACACACACACACACACACACACACACACACACACACACACACGCACGCACGCACGCACGCACGCGCACACGCACGCAAACAAAACAAAACACACAAACACACAAACACACACACGCACGCACGCAGGACAATCGCATGAGTCATCAAGTGAACGCACTGTGCATTTGGGTCACTGCGCAGCTTCTTGATCTTGGGGCATTTGTTCGGGTTTGCAATGCCGCAGTTGCAAATAAGGCGGTGCAGGTGTGACACGTCTTGTAGCACCAGCACACTCTCCACAGATGTGGCGCGCGCACGTGCGGGCGGCGCGGGGAACAGGGAGCTGCGCGGACTAAAGTCGCCCGTCTTCGAGTCGGCGTCGCTCTGCGAACTCCGCGATCGCACCTGCTCCATGTCAAACGCAGAGTTGGTGCGACTCATTGGCACGGTCAGCATGGACGCAGACTCTGTCAGGCCGTCATCGTCGTACTCGTAGTGGTACATGTTTGAGCTGCGATGGCTTGCTGGCCCGCTGTTGATGAACGGATCGCGCACAGGAAGCAGGAAGCCCGTGGTGCCGGCGCCGTTCGTGTCTGTCGCTTCGTTCAGGCGGCGCAGTGTCTCCACCATCTCCTCATCGTCAGAGCCGCCAGATTCAAAGTACTGATGCGGGTCGTTGTCCTCCAGGAAGGACTCGCGTGCGGACAGACCGTCCGACAGAGCACGACTCACTTGCTGCTGATCCGCGGTTGTGTTTAGTGTGTTTGATGCGTTTGATGCGTTTGATGTGTTTGGTGTGTTGGGGTGTGTCCGTGAACGTGCGTGTGAGAATGTACGAAAACATGCCGGGAGGTCCAACACACGCACACACGCACACACGTGCACGTCATGGGTACGTGCATCCGTGTTCCCAGTTGCAGCACGACAACAAGCTGCGACTCGTCAACACACCTTTCCTCCGACGTAGGATTCGATATCATCATTGGACGTGACAGAAGATGTGTCAGAGGAGTCTCCCTGTGGTTCAACACACGAGTACGCACACACGATATGAACAAACGAGTCATGAACACCCCTCCTCGGGCCCTTGCCTGGCTACGAACACGCACGCAGAACGCACACACGTACACACGCACACACACAGAACACAACGCACAACCGTGCATTCCCTGCCATGCCACACTGTACCGACCTCGATCAGAGAACTCTGCAGGGAGCGAGCAGACTGGAAGCTGGAGCGGCGCAGCGACGAACGACGCGCGCCTGAGTTAAGTCGCAATGAATAATGGTGGCGTCGTGTTGGGTCGTGAGTGGTGAGTGGTGGTATCGATGAAAATGTGTGTGTGTATGTGTTTGTATGTGTTTGTGCGTGTTTGTGCGTGTTTATGTGAGGAGAAGAGAGATTGTGTGTGTGTGTCTGTGTGTGTGTGTTTTCGAAAGCGTGGTTGTGATGTTGAAGAGACGACGTGGTGTTATTCGACAGTGCAGCATTTCGACTGCCCACAAGGCAGGCTTAGGGAGCAACAAAGTACACGCAATCATGACGCAATGCTTGTCGCACCGAGGGCGGCAGTGGTCAACTCACCACGGACACGGGCCAGAGCCGAGCTGGTCAAGCTCACTTCAGAACGCCTGAGGATAACACAGCATCAACATGAGTGCGCGTGCGCTTTGTCGAGCAGACAGTGGATTTAAGGATCCAGCACCACACAGCGCAACTGCAGGCGGCAGTCCATCGCATGTGCATGCAGACTACACGTACAGACACACGCACACACAGAGACACACAGACACGAGAGACACAGACACGCGCACACACAGACACGCGCACACAGAGACACACAGACACACGCACACACGTACACATGCAACGTCAGGTGCACGTCTCCCGTACCTGCGTGACTCTTCGCTGCTTCGCGGCTGACGAGAGAGCATGGAGCGACGAGCAGGCTTCTTGTCCGGTCGGCTACTGCGACGCGCTGGCTTTGAATTGCGATGGGGACTGTTGGTCTTTCGCTCCTGCACCTGCAGACGCACACGCCTCTCCCCGCGCTTCTTGTTCTCGGGCTTGGCGGCGGCGGCAGCAGCGTCCACATCATCGTGTGCGTCGGTTGATGCGCTCACCACCTGTGCTTGCCCCTCCGTGGACGTGGATTGTTTTGGCGACGGCTCTTTGGCCTCATCACTTGGTGTCGTGGACTGCCCAATCGACCCATCGCTGTCGTGGCGCTGCGGCTGTTTCCCATCTTGTGTCGCTGGGTGCTGTGATGCCTCTGCTTGCTGTTGTTGTTGCTGTTGCTGTTGCTGTTGCTGCTGTTGCTGTGATGATTGCTGACGCTTATCGTGCTCGTGTGTCTCCTGGCGATGTGCACCCGCGCCATCAGACACGCGAGCGTCGTGTTCCCGCCCTTCATCATCATGCTTCGCGTGCTTGTGCTGCATGTGCTGCTTGGCGCTGTGATCATCACCATCGCCACTCGCCTCGCCGTCCTTGCGTACGCCGTGCGCCCGCGCGTGCGTCGAGTCTGTCTCGTCTGCCTCAATCAGTGGGCGCTGCTTCTCAAAGTTCATTGACGGAATGCGTTTCATCGCCACAGGCCGCATGGAGTCAGACGAGGCAGTCGTGTGCTCTGATGCCTGACCCTGCGATTGCCTCTCGTCCTCATCTGCAGCATTGTCATCCTCACCCCTGCGAATGCGTCAAGATGAACACGGCGGTATCGGGAATGGTCAGAGCGTGCAACCTCACTCGCGAACGCACAAGGTACAGGACATAAGCGCACATACAAACGCACACACACACTCACACACACAATCAAACGTACAATCACAGACGCACGCACGCAAACACACACACACACACACACACACACACACACACACAAACGTACAATCACAGATGCACACAAATAAACGTATGTAGATTATTACAAATTCAAAACACGCACACTCACTTGCTGGCGGTTTGCTTCCAGTCGCTGCGCCCTGACTTGGCGATGGGAACGTACTCGTACTTGCCCGGTTTGCGTTCAGGCACGCGGTGATCAGCCGCTGCCGCCGCCGCCGCCGAGGTGGCTGCTGCGGCAGTCCTTGACCCGTCACCGTTCAGCAGCGATGCGTCAATGTGCTCTGCATCCAACGAGCTCAGCACCCGCGCCGCATTCTGAATCGTCGACTTGAGCGTCGTCACCTGAAGTCACATGGTGTGTGTGTGTGTGTGTGTGTGTGTGTGTGTGTGTGTGTGTGTGTGTGTGTGTGTGTGTGTGCGTTGGTTGGTTGGTGTGTGTGAGAGAGGGTATGAGCGTTCGTTGTACTTGTGTGTGAGTGTGTGTGTGTGTGTGTGTGTGAAACAACTAAACAGGGTGGTAACCTTTGGATGCACAGCCAGAATATCATCAGCAGCGGCGCACGCTGTGCAAACCTTGCTGTGCTGCAGGCGCTCCAGCTCGTCATCCGACATGGCCAGCAGTGAGTTGAGCATCGAAGCATCCCTGTTTGATTGCAATGTGAATGCAGTGACGAGAGTGGATGAGGTGCATGAAGGCGGTGATAAGTACTCAATCGTGTGGCAAGGAAAATGGTTGGCAACAACGCAACGTTCGCACACTCGCACATGGACATGCACACGTGTATGCGTGCAAGGCTTGCGGACGCACTTTGCAGTTGCAAAGCTGTCGGTGCCGTGAAAGGAAGGCGCGGCCTGGTAACGAGAAGCAGTAATTGAGATGAGTTGCAAGATGTGTTGAATTGCAGTGCCCACCCACGTCACACACACACGCACGCACACGCCCATGCGCACATACACACAAGCATAAAGCAAGCAAAGACACACAAACACAGGCGCACCACAAAGGAGGAGATGTGAAGCTCCCTGGCCTCGGCCTGCTTGCGCTCGGCCCCAAGCAGAAGACTTGTCTGCAAGTTCTTGCCCTTGAGTTCCTCGATTGTGCTCTGCGCCTCAGCCAGCTTGTCGCGCAGCTGTTCAATCTCGCGGTCCTTCTCCTCCATTGTTTGTGTGTTCCACCTCAGTGGCGGCGGCGGTGGTGGTGGTGACCGCCCCAGCCCGCGCAAAGCGGATGCACCAGCACTGCCAGCACCGCGATGAGGGGTGGATGTGCCGGGTGCAGCGTTCTCCTTGTTGCCCAGCGGTGAGAGCACGCTGTCCAGGTGCTGCTGGCGAAGGAGACGCGCGCGGAATGACTCTTCCACGCGGCGTGACCGCTCGAGCGAGCTGCGAACCATCCTGTCAACCTCAGCAACAACAGGCGACACAGGCGTCTCTGTTGTGGAGGTGTTTGGGGAGGGTGGTGAGGTGTGATGACAGCCAAGGGGTGTGAGGAGTGTGCTGATGCAAAGAAGGCGAACAGTTGCGGAACACACAACCAACACCGAACAAAACGAACCAGCCTCATGCACATGTGCACAGGCAGCATGCGGTGGAAGCAAGCTCCTCCCGGCCGTCGCCACCACAGCCACCAACCATCCTGAATGTCCACTCACCACGGTGCAAGTTGAGCGGGCTGGCGGCGCTATTGACGGGGGCGATTGGGGACGGAGGCACGCTGTCGGCTGCAGCTGCTGCAAAACCAACACCACCATCGCCATTGATGTGGCTCATGTTGTTCACATCGCCAGCTCTGCCGTGCTTGGTTGGAGAGAGCTCGCCACGGGCCGCATTCAGGTCGCTCTCAAGCTCCTTGATGCGCGCTTTCGCCGCGTCCAGGTCACGATGCAGCTTCTCCGCCGTCTACATACATCAGCAACAACGGAAGTGGTGGTCATTAGTATGTGGGCGCGACTGCTAGAGCGGAAGAAGGAAACAAGAATGCATCTGCTCACACGCGTCACCACAGACTACCATGCGTTCATCCATACACACACATACACATCGAAGCACACAGACACACGCGCGACGTGGGTACCTTGACGGAGTTGAGTTCGCGCAAGCAGAGGAGTTCTGTCTGTGCAGCCTTGAGCGCCGACATCAATACTGCGCAACCGATGCATTGACAAACGTATGCATGAGTATGACAGGGTGCCGTAGCTTACAGCAACGTTTGATCAACCACACAAGTTTCTCACAACGAATGCGAATGGGACGAGAAGGGAGAAACAAAAACGTGCAACAAGTTACGCAGATGCTTGCGCTCACCCTCAGAATCAACGGTTTCCTGGAGGTGGTAGAACACAACGACATGGTGAAGCGAAATGTGAGTTTTAAGGTATACGGAGTTCAATCACAGAATGCATGCAAAAGTACGTCTTTACAACAACAAGCCAAACATGCTGTCAACACACACACACGCACACATACACACACACACGCAAACACATGTGTACGGCACCTCGGTTGCGCCGCTGAGCATGTCGACGACGTGGAGTTGGCGATCAACATCGCACCGCAGGCGATCCATCATGCCAGACCACGGCAGGTCGCTGTTCTCCTCGCCACCCTTGCCATCGTCGCTGTCATGCTCGCTGCCCGTGTCACCACCCACATCCTCAGCCCCACCTGCCGCCTTGTGCTTCTGCCCTTTCTTCTTCTTCTTCTTCTTGTCCTTCTTCTGTGGCGTGCTGGCAGCGCCATCGCTCACATCCTCGTCGCTGCTGTTCACCAGACCCTTGGCCCGGCGCACTGAATTCAGTTTCTCCTCCAAGCGATCAATGACCTTGTCCTTGCGACTCGACTCGCGCCGGGTCGCCTCAAGCGTGTGCTGCAGCGTGTCAATCTCTTGCAGCAAATCAACGTGTGAGCGCGTATCGCTTGGTGCCAGATCAGCAGCTGCGGCTGCCGCGTCCGCATCAACGTGGCTCGATGGACGAGCCGGCACTTGCTCAAGGCGGCTCGCCCACACCTCGCGTGAATCGCGGTGATGATGATGATGATGCTGATGACGGTGGCGGTGTTCTTCGTCGTTGTCGTCGTTGTCGCTGTTGTCATCGTGATCATCGTGATGGTGACGGTGATGGTGGGGTGTGCTCTCGTGCTTGGCATCCCCGTGTTCTTTGCCCCTGCTGTTCTTGGCCTGCGCATCATCATGGGCTGTCACCTCCTCATGCTTGTGGTGGCTGTGGTGGTACTCATAACTGGCACCGTGGTAGTCGTCATGCTCTTCATCGCTATCAACGTGATGGTGGTGGTGGTGCGAATGCGTGGTGTCTGCTTGCGCCTTGTGGCGACGCTGTTGCTCCTGCTTGTCCCGCTGCTGTTCCTGCTGGTGGTCCAGCAGTGCTACACCAAAGCCATCAATGTCGAGGCCTGAAACATCACCGTCTTCCTCCTCTGTTGTTGGCGCCAGTCGCTTCTCGCCACGCTGCTGCTGCTGCTGGTGGTGGTGGTGGCGGTGGCGGCGGTGGCGGCGGTGGTGGTTGAAACGAACAAGGCATGATATCGTGTGTGTGTGTGTGAGTGTATGTATGTGAGTGTGTGTGTGTGGTTGGGGAGTGAGTACACGGTGCCTGTGCCTGCGAGCATACATTGAAAAAGCCTGCACGCAATATCTTGTTGTCTTCAGGATAGCAGCTCACCTGAGGCTGGTCAGCGAGCAAATCGGCCAGCACCGACCCGTTGGCATCTGTGAGCACCACGCTCGGGTGCCGTACAACCTTCCCATATGCATCTGAAAAATGGTACGACGCATGCATTGTGAGTTGAGGCAATTAGGGATGGTTTGGTCACTTGGGTTCTGGCATGCGGTCTCTCCCCATAACACACACATACGCACACGCACACACACATATACACATACGCAAACACAAACACACAACTACACAAATACACGTACACAACACACACACACACAAATGTACACAAACACACAAATGTACACAAACACACAAACATAAACACACACACACAAACAATAACACACACAAATAACACAAACACAAATACACACAGTGCAAAGCATTCAGGTCCACTCCAAAATACGAAAGGATCACATTACGCTGTATCACGATACAATAAACAGAGAAGAAACAAAGCCGGGCCAAAACATCAAAGACGCACCGATGCTAAACCGCTTTGGAGCAGTGTCATCGCTGGAAGCATCGGCAGAGGTCTGCTGCACATCATCCTGCCCATGCTTCTCTTGATGCTGCTGCTGCGGGTGTTTCATGTTCCCTGAAGCGCCAGCACTACCACGAGCTGCGCCCTTCACCTTGGCCACGGTGCGGTGTGCAGCTGCAATGGCAGACTTGCCCGCATACACGTCGCGTTGCACAGCACCACCGGCACCAGCACCGGTGTCGCCACCATTGGCGTTGTCGTCGCGGTCATTGTGTGTCTCGCCGTCGCTTTCCTCGGCAGAGTCGGAGGTGGACGCATTGGCCTGCTCCATAAACCCTTCTTTTGGCTGTGTTACGGTCTTGAGGCGGCTCGGGTGGACAAAATCACCATACCCGGGGTCGCACACAAAGTACCGGTAGCCGTTGATGGTGCCGTCACAGCTGCCATGGCGCTTGTGGTGATAGATGACGCCACACCATGTGCGGCTCGACAGGATGCCTGGTGGATGCAGGAAGCCACCATCGTCATCATCATTGTCAGCGCCATTGCCATCATCGTTGGCGTTGCCATCGCCACAAGCACCAGCAACCTTGTCCAGTGGCCCAATGAACACGAGTTTGCATGCAAGCAAGCCGTCCACGAGATACGTGCCGCCCTCAACAAGGGACGAGGCAGCTTGCACCGTGGAGTCAACAGACAGGCGGCGGTTGCTGGTGTCATGTGCAACATGAGCGCTCCCATCACCATGCTGCTGCTGCTGCTGTTGCTGCTGTGGTTGTTGGTTGACACCGACAGTGAGCTCGAGATTGGTTTCGCCCGGGTCAAGCGACTGGCTGTTGTGGCGGAGGCGGCTGTGGCGGCCGCGACTGCTGCCACTACTCTTCGTCATGCCCACCGCAGCGGCAATCAGCTCCTCCTGGCTCAACCGCTCGTGGTGCGCAGAGTCACCGTCCCGAAGATACTCCCCGTTGCCGTGCTGGCCACTGTGTGTGCCGTTCTGTTGTTGCTGCTGTTTCTGTTGCTGCGTGTGCTGTTTGTGCTTGTGCTGGTGGCCTTCGCCCTTGTCAGCAGTCTCTTCGTCTTGATCCTCCTGGTCAATCATGGTCTTGTACATGCGGCCAATGGGGCAGTAGTCGTCCACCATGTCCTGGTTTGCTGCCAGGGCCGCTGCAGTCAAGCGGACAACCTGCGGCTCGCCCTCACCTCCGTCGCCACCATCAGCAGCACCGCTATTGGTGTCTCTCTTGTTGGCCTTCTTCTTGCCTGATGTGGGGCTGCGGCTGCGGTGCTTGTGCTTGTGCTTGTGCTTTCGCTCCTGCTCGTGGTCGCTGTGGTGATGCTTGTGATGGCGATGGTGATCATGCCTGTGCTCCGTGTCCTCTTCTCGCTGTGCTGTCTTCTGCTTCTCCTGCTTCTCCTGTTTCTGCTTCTGCTGCTGCTGCTTGTCACGGCGTGGTGAGCGGGCCTCTGTGCCGTGGTGGCGGTGCCCATCACCATCATCGCCATCGGCACCATCCCCGTCACCGTGGTTGTCTGCAGCGTCGCCACCAGCCGCGTGCTCCGTGCGCTTGATCGTTTCCGTGGAGAACGACTGGCGGAGGTTTGACGGCTTGACGGGTGATGTTCCTGATTTGTTGCCTGCGCCCTTGCTGTCGCCCCTGTTGGCGAGCTTCCGCTGCATGATGCGTCGAAGCAGAAAGTGCGCCTTGTCCTCCTTTGCCGCCTCAATCGCCGCCGCCCGAGCTGTGTGTAATTTGTATGTGTGTTTGTGTGTGTTTGTGTGTGTGTGTGAATGTGTGTGTATGTGTGTGAATGTGTGTGTGTGTGCGAATGTGTGTGTGTATGTGTGCGAATGTGTGCGAATGTGTGTGTGTGTGTGTGAATGTGTGCGAATGTGTGTGTGTGAATGTGTGTGTGTGCGAATGTGCGTGTAAGAGTGTGAGGCGGAGGTAGAGGTGAAGAAAGCAGATTTTGAGGCGAATGTGCGCGACAAAACAGCTTGAACAGTTTAAACAGTTTGAACGTTGAAGGAAGAATATGCAGGCAAGCGAAAACAACGAGATGTGCATGTCGCACCTTCGCTGGGCGATGCAGGGACGCTCGAGCTTCCCTTCTCTCCCTCATCTGCCTTGTGCGGCGACGCCCTGGTTATGCGCGCATGTGTGTTTATGTGTGTGTGTGTGTGTGAGTGTGTATGTGAGTGGGTGGGTGGTGCAAACATGTGCCCATGTGTGCGTGTCAACTCAACGCTCGACAGGTTGTCCCATGACTACACAGTCGTGGTGTGGAGAAGCGCAACAACAGCAAAATCACATGCACACACACATGCACACACATACACAGAGCGCGGGGTGACGTACGGGTTTGTGCGCGTGCGAGAGGAGATGGAGACGCCGGCGAGGTCACAGAGGGCATCAAACTTGGCCGCCACCTCGTCAAAGTACGGCACTGGTGGTGATGGTGGTGGTGATGGTTGTTGGAGCGTTGTGATGCGTTGAACAAGGGGGTGAGGGATGGAGATGGAAGAGGCAAGATGTTGGTGGATTAAACAACACCACCAAACAACGCAGAGTAGTTGCGTCAGCAGGAATGTGATGTGAGCTGACTTTTTTTTGGGGGGGGGGAGGGGAAAGAGGGTTGCGATATGGGGAGAGATGTGACATGGGGATGGGTATCTGTTGCGGCCTAGCAACCAGCACCGCGCCATGCATGACTCTCGATGCGTCTCACCTTTCGCTGCGGCGAGGATGGGCTGGGATGTCAACGTCAGCTCCTGCTGCAGCTGTTGAAGATTGGAGTTAATGGAGGCGTTGGAGGTGTTGCAGGTGATGAATGTGGTGGATGTGGTGGATGCAAGAACGGGTGAGAGAGGATGAGCATCAAGAACAACTACAGCAACAATTACTGTCATCAACACAGAGACTCCAAACCACAGGAAAACAACCACAGGCAGAGCACACCCAACTCCGTGGGCACGCAGTCCCAATGCCTGTGCCATTGCGATCACCAACAGATGCGTACCCGCTTGAGGGAGGCGCCGGCGGAGATCATGACGGTGACGCGGTTGAAGAAGCGCCGCACGTCTTCCACCAGGCCCTGGCACGGCACACACGCAATTTAGACGGCATTGGCGTGTGAATCAACCCAAGCAGCTGTCAACTGCATGCAGCACACAGACTCTCTCAGACGCACTTACTCAAACACCCACCCACACACCCACACACACACACTCACACACACACTCACACACACACACTCACACACACACACACACACACACACACACACACACACACACACACACACACACACTCACACACACTCACTCACTCACACACTCAAACACACCCACACACACACACACACACTCGCTCGCTTCTTCGACTCCTCCCCCAACAAACTCCTCATTCGCCCCTCAAACTCCTCACTCGCCCCTCACCAGTTGCTCCTGCGTGAGGTCCCGTGTTGGCATGACGGTGAGGGCTGACATGACCTCGCCGGCCGCCTGGCCCAGCTGTGCGTTCATGCTGTTGCGCTGCTTCTGCCGCTGCTCGTGTCTGCGCGCCTCGGTGCGTGTGTCGGGTGCAGAGTCGGTTGTGTCTGCGCTCGACGCACTGATGACCCGGATCACCTGCGACGCTTGCGAGTTGGCTGTTGTCGGGCGTGATGTCTCCGCTGCGTCGCTCACGTGCGCGTCCTCGTGAAGTGGCGAGCGCGGCTGCTGCTGTTTGCTGCTGTTGTTGTTGTGGTTGTTGGATGCTGTGGCTTGTTCTGAGTCGACAGTGCTGGGTGCATTCGACGACCAGCGGGCGCGTTCCTCCGGCCTGCTGCGCGGCTGTCGCTTCAGCGGCGACGGGTTGCGGAAGGGGCTACTGATAAACCGCCTGTCCCACGTCTGCTCGGCCTTTGCTGTCGCTGGTGGAGAGACAGCAGAGGACGGTGATCGGCGTCGCCGCTGTCGAGCGTGGCGTGGTGACAAATGGCCTGTGCGACCGTTTGCCTGCTGTTGCTCTTGCTGTTGCTGTTGTGGTTGCGGTTGCGGTGGCTGTTGGTCTTGTGATGCGGGGTCGTCGCTGCAACTTGGACACGGCTGTTCAGCCTTGGCCGCTGCTGCTGGTGTTGGCTCGCTCTTGTCCTTGCTTGCAGTGGCGGCCTTTAGCTTTCGGCGCTGTTCCCGCCGGTCCTTGGGCGGGTCCTTGAGCTTGAGCTTGATGGAATTGCCCTCTTGGGTCTCGTGTGTGCTGTGCTCTTGGTGCTGGTGCTGTTGGTGGTGGTGGTGGTGGTGGTGGTGGTGCTTGTGCTGCCTGTGACGGTCGTGAGATGACGACGACACAGTATTCGCAGCATGATGCACGTTGGAGTCGTGTGCAGGCGACACGTTTGGTGGAACGTGGGTCGCCATGGCGTTTGCGTCGGCGAATGCGAGCGCGGTGTGAGGGTGATGGGAGAAGACCGGTGAGGGAGGCGCAATGGATCACAGAGACGTGTGTTGGTGGTGGTACGCAGTGGTGGTTGTCGTTGGGAGAGCCCAGGCAACCAACGGTTTGGGAAAGTGAGAAATGATGATGGGTGCAGTGCTCGCTCTTGACGCTCGGGTGTGTGTGTGCGTGTGTGTGCGTGTGTGTGTGTGTGTGTGTGTGTGTGTGTGTGTGTGTGTGCTGTTGGTTGTGGGTGTTTGCTTGCTGTGGCTGTGAAATGATAATGAAGAGCGCGACCAAGAAGAAGCAACAGGTGGCTTGTGGCTGGTGTGTGCGTGTGTGTGTCTGTGTGGTTGTTGTCTGTGTGGTTGTGGTTGTGGGGGGGGGACGAGATGGAAGTGGCTGTGGCAACGAAAAAAAAACCAACGATCAAACCACGGCCTCAAACAAAGGCTCCTTCAATCCGAGCCAAGCAACCAACGTGCGTGCGTGTGTGCGATGGCTGACCACCGATGAACACACTCAACCAGCCACCCAAGCAGCAAGCGAACACACACAACCCGGCGGCGGTTTGGTTTCGTGCTGCACTGGTGGTGCCTTGCGTGTGGGGTGTGTGATGGTTGGTGGTGGCTGGGTGTCGTCATCACAAAGGTTTTCGCCACGGTTCGCACCATCAATACGTGGCGTATGACAACGCACCTGACAAACTCGGGCACGGACGATCCCTCAAGGCAGTGTGTGCCTTGAGCCTTGTTGTTGTTGCTTGCCTGACAAATCTCTAATCGGTGCCTCGTTGTGGTCGTTGGCGGGTTCTGTGTGGTTGGTTGCAGAAAGAAAAAGTTTGGGTCGCCCAAATTCGTTTATTAAATTGGCATCGAATCGCAGTTTGTTGTTGTGGAGTGCGACGACACAACACCACACACAACACAACACAACACAACACAACACAACACAACACAACACAACACAACACAACACAACACAACACAACACAACACACACAACACAGCACAACACAACACAACACAACACACAACACAACACACACAACACAACACAACACCACACACAACACCACACACATAAAATGATCACACAACACAACACAACACCACACACGATCACGCATCATAACGTCGCTTGGTGTCGAGGTTAGTCTGCATGGCAAGAGCGAGGGAGCGAAACGCCGCAGAGTAGAGGGAAGCATGGAGCGAGTCACGGTGGTCGTCTGATAACAGCTTCAATTGGTCTGTGTGTAGCGCTGCTGCGTACGCCATGGAGAACAAGCTTGGCACGGGCCGCAGTGATGGCGTGCGCACTGTCGCAAAAGTGGAGGTGGCTGGCGCTGCGAGAAAAGAGCCGCTTCGCAGCCCGCGCTGTTCCCGCCTCACACCGCCGTGCCTGCACAAGTAACCGAAGCTGGCAAAGAGGTTGCAAAACACGGCAGCATGCCCGCGGTGCAGTGCATCTCCAAAAGCATGCTGTGAATCCGTGCGCGAAGGCGGCGCCGTGCTTGCCCTCGTCCTTGTTGCCGTTGTTGTTCCGGCCATGCTTGGCGCAGCGGGCGCAGCGGGCACAGGGACATTGGCGCGAAGCAGCCGGTATGCGGAGACAGCATCTTCCGTCTCCACGACATAGTGGCGTAGCACGCGCTGCAGGGATGCCACGTAGGCACGTGCAGCCGCATCAAAGTGCAGCAGAGGGTGCGAGCACAGGTCCTTCAAGAGCAGCTCCTCGCACGAGGTGGCGCCCTTGGTGACAGCAAGCTCAAGTGCACTGTAACCTGGCATGACCATGCGCGTGGCGCCTGCATCCACCAGCAGCGCCGCAGCATCTGCATTGTCTTGCAGGATGGCCTCATGCAAGCATGTGATGGTGCCGTTAACAGAGGTGAACGTGGCGTCTACCTTGGCACCACGCGCAAGCAGCAGCCGGATGCATTCCAGGTGCTGGCGCCTCGGTGCTGGGTCATCTTGGCTTGGCATTCCACGTTGTGTGGCTGATGGTGTCGGTGCTTGCGACGACTTGGTTGTCCTTGTGCATGGCCTCACCCTCCCTGTTGCTGATGCTGTTGCTGTTGCTGTTACTGTTGGTGTTGGTGTTGCTGCTGTGACCGCCGCTGTTACTGCTGCTGCTGCTGCTGTTGCTGCTGCTGCTGCTGATGTTGTTGTTGTTGTCCTTTCTGCTGTCATTGCAGTCATTGAATCCACTGCTTCCGTTGGTGCAAGGTTCCTCATTCCCATCTGCTGCGAGTCCGATACCCCCATGCCTTGTTGGTACACGTGGCGATGACGGTCAATGTTGAGGAACTGGAGGTAGCTTGACGGATCCTGCGCTGCAGCCACAACGAGGCCTAGCGGAGTCTCGTAGTAGGGGCGATCAAACCGGCAATCTGGATCACAGCCTGCGTCCAAGCACGCCTGCAGCTGAGCCGCATCGCCAAACACGAGCGCCAGCTCAAACACGGCATCCGCCTCTTCCCATGATTGTGTGTGTCTTCTGGAAGCTGCAGATTGTCGCATCTCTCCTGACCGGCACTGCTGCTGCTGCCATCCCTGTCGACGATACTGCTGGTTTTGAAGCTCTTGTGGTTGATCCCTGTGCCCTTGGCCATGCTGTGCCGTTGTTGACCTCAGCAACGCCGCTGAGGGCACAGGCTGTCGTTGATGTCGTTGTCTGTGTGATGGCATGGAGCTGTAAACCTTACCCACTGGCAACATCGCTCCTCTCCCTGTCCCTTCTCCCCCACCATCATCACCTCCCCCATCATCATCTGTTTGGCTTCGTCTCGCCTCCTGCTGCCATCTCCAACCCACGCTGCTCTTGTGTACGCCGCGCTGCTGCCTCTTCTTCTTCCTCGTCCTTTTCCTCCTCGTCATCGCCAACTCCGTTCTGGGCGATTGCTGAAAATCTTCCAGAAGTTTTCCTCATTGCGACACCGCTTTTGTTCTCCTGGATTTGCGTTCGCCATTTACCACACACACAGCAAGCCACGCCGCTGCAAACGAAGAAAACGAGAAGGTGCGTGTGTTGGCGTGTGTTGGAGCGCGTGTGCGTGTGGCTGCGTGGTGTGTTGGATATGCTGGAGCGTGTGCTGCAACGTGGCTGCCTGGTGTGTGTGCGTGTGTATGTGTTGCGTGTCCTTATGGTTCATCTGTTGCTTGCTTGCTTCACTTGTCGCTTTGTCTCACGCTTGTTCATTTTTCACTTATTTAACGCCGTCTGTCCACCTCTTTCTACCCCCCCCCCCTCTCTACCTCTACCTCTCTCTCTTCTCCCTCTACCTCTTCATTTGCTTTTCTCCTGTTGACACGGAAACAGCACCACCCGAACCCGACCCGACAGCAACGATGGCGTCTCTCATGAAGGCAACCCGCGCGGCATCCCAGGCTGGCCGTGCTCTTGGCGCACGCGCTATGTCGTCGCAGACCCCGCAGATTGACGTTGAGGGCATCCTGGCCAACGCCGGCCTCACGGCAAAGGACGTCAACCAGGGCGTGTTCACTGGCAAGTGGCAGCAGGGCAAGGGCCAGGAGTACACCTCCCTGGACCCAGGCACCAACAACGGCATTGCCAGCGTCTCCTACGGCACCCCCGAGCAGATGGAAGAGGCCATTGCCGCCGCAAAGGAGGCCTGGCCCGAGTGGGCAAAGCTCACCATGCCCGCCCGCGGCGACATTGTCCGTCAGATTGGCGACGCCCTCCGCGAGAACCTCGAGTCCCTCTCCCAAGTGGTCAGTTCAAACGTGTGATTGCTTTGTTTTTCGTGCATAATATGCAATATGCAATTGCCTTGGCGTTACTAGCTGGACATGTGTCGCCTTGTCATGGTCTTGAACGGCAACAGCAACGGCAACGGCAAAGTTCTGCTGCTACTGCTGCTGCTGCTGCTGCAGTTACTGCAGTTACTGCTACGTGCCACTGCTCACACGAACCCGCTTTTCTCCTCCGTGTGTTTCCGCTCTACCCATCTTGTTGTTGATAGCTGACGCTTGAGAACGGCAAGATCCTGCCCGAGGCCCGTGGCGAGGTGCAGGAGTTTGTCGACATTTGCGACTACGCTCTCGGCCTCAGCCGCTCCATCAACGGCAGCATCCTCCCCTCCGAGCGTAAGTAGACTAACATAAAGTCAAGTCTGTGCGCGCGTGTGTGTATGTGTATGCAGCGTGTGCATCATGTGCGTGTGTGTGCGCACATGCGTGCATACGTGTTGCCGCTTTGCGTGTTATCGCTGTCCGTGTTGTGGTGTATCATCTTTTTTTTTCTTTCTTTTTTTTCCTTTTCCTTCAAAGCTCACACGATTTTTACCTCACCCTAACCCACCCACCCACTCCTCCATTCCTCTCCTCTGCCAACGTTTCTTCTTCTTTTCCGCCAGGCCCTGACCATATGCTCATGGAGCAGTGGAACCCGCGCGGTCTCGTTGGCATGATCACCGCCTTCAACTTCCCTGTCGCCGTCGCCGGCTGGAACCTTGCCCTCTCCCTCGTTGCGGGCAACACGCACGTCTGGAAGGGCTCCCCAACCACCCCACTCACCAGCATTGCCCTCACCAAGGTCATGGCCGAGGTGCTTGAGCGCAACAACATCAACCCGGCCATCATCTCCATGGTGTGCGGCGGCGCGGATGTTGGCCACACCCTGTGCGCCGACCGCCGCGTGGACCTCCTCTCCTTCACGGGCAGCACCAAGGTCGGCCGCGAGGTTGGCGTCACCGTCCAGTCCCGCTTTGGCCGCTCCCTGCTCGAGCTCGGCGGCAACAACGCCATTGTCGTCATGGATGACGCCGATC